ACCATCTTAAAGCCTGCCCTTGAATACCTGTATAGTTTTGTAATCGATCTATGAGTATGTCATGATCTATAGTATCAAACGCAGCACTAAGATCAAGTAAAACTAGCAATGAGATACAGCCTTGGTCTGACGCAAGAAGCAAGTCAGAACAATTGTCTGGTCATTGTTCACAAAATGAACAATGACCAGCACTTGGAAATGCCACTTCCTTTTAAACAGAGACCTCACCTTCCAGACAATAAGCCTCTTGCGGTTGTGAGACTTCAGCATCTCAAACGAATAATGGAAAAGGACAAAGAGTATAAGCAACACTATATACAGTTTATTGAAGAGATGATAGGAAATGGTGATGTGGAAAGAGTGCTTGATGAAGGAAGCGAAGGAGAAAAATGGTATGTCCCACATCACGGGGTGTACCACTCAAAGAAACCAGGCAAAATTCGCGTAGTCTTCGACTGCTCAGCCCGATACGAAGGAATCAGTCTAAATGACCATCTTCTCACAGGCCCTGACCTGATGAATAGCCTGACTGGCATTCTATTGTGATTCAGACAGCATCCAGTAGCCTTAATGTGTGATATTGAGCGCATGTTCCATCAGTTCCCCATTGATGAAACAGATCGAAATTACTTAAGATTTCTCAGGTGGAACAATGGAGATTTCCACTCTCAGCCACAAACATTCCGTATGAAAGTACATCTCTTTGGAGCATCATCGTCTCCTGGGTGTGCCAACTATGGACTGAAACATCTCGCAAGAAAAGGTGAACATTCACACTCCCTTGGCGCAAAATTCATTATGAGAGATTTCTACATGGATAATGGAGTTGCCAGTGTTGAAAACCTGGAGAAAGGCATCCAGTTGGCACAAGAAGCTCGTCAGCTTTGTGAAATGGGAGGTTTGAGACTGCATAAGTTTGTATCTAACAGCAAGATACTTTTGGAAGTCATACCACCCTTTGAGCGTGCAGTCAACGTTACAGCCATTGATCTTTCACTCACAGACCAACCTTTGGAAAGAGCATTGGGCATTTACTTGGATTTGGAAGGGGCCAACCCTTACCAAAAAGTAGTATACTTCAAGTTTATTTTATTAAATATACTTAAGTAAAGTTGAAGTATATTTTTAAGTATACTTTATGTAGTAAGTATACAAATATCGGTGTACTAGTAGTATACTTGTAAGTGTACTATTTCAATACTCCTTGGGACTTTTAAGTATACTTTAAGTATAACAGTAGTAAACTTTGAGTACACAACTAGTTTATATCTATATTTTTAGCTTGTACTGCAACTATACTAAAAGTGAACTTATAGGTATACTGATAGTTTACTAATTAAATACTTGTAGTAGCATTTTTAGTGCACTTTGAAGTATAGTCTCAGTAAACTACTAGTTTAGTAGTTTTATACTGCAAGTATACTCGTAAGTTTTCTTTAAGTGAACTTTACATCATACTTTAAGTATACTACTATGTCCCTATTTAGGTATTTTGAACAAAAAGCTGAAAGAAAAAAGACTATGAATTGGATTCAGAATGATAATCAAAACGTAGATAGAGTCGAGCTCTACCTACCTCTTCATTGGTCGACATTTTATTCCATTACGTTACACAGTTTTGATGCTGTTTTATGTCTGATGATCGTGTTAGATTACATGTGGAAGCATCTGTTGTTTCGGTTTCTTCTTCACTTGTGTTTTTTTGGAAATTCTGTACAGAAGATGTGTACTAACGACCCCTACCGTATAACAATGAAAACACGGATTCTAGGAGCACAAGTATACAGTAGCTCAAATATATTTAGACTTTTTCAAGTATAAGTCAAGTATACTTAAATGTCATTTTAAGTATATTTCTGAGAAGAACATAAAGCCCATTTCTGAGAAGTACAGAAAAAGTAGACTAAGAGTATACTTTCCTATTTTTAGTTTAAAAGAAGTATACTAATAGCACACTTGAATAAACTTATTTTTCGTAAGGGAACTTTAGATTTCGTGTTAATCCTAAAACCCGGCCAGCAACACGTAGAGGTATACCGTCCACCGTGGCATCATTGTTTGATCCTCTAGAGTTCCTTGCACCATTCTTGCTTAACAAAAAGACTATTCTTCAAGAAACGTGCAGAAATGGCATGAGCTGGGACAATTTTTTGCCTGATATTTTGCTGCCAAGGTGGGAGCGTTGGAAAGCTGATCTGGCTAACTTGGTGAAGATAAAAGTACCTCGTTGCATTGTCCCTGATGGGTTTGGGAAATTCACAAAGAGAGAGATTCACCACTTCTCGGACGCTAGCACCAGTGGATATGGCCAATGCTCATATCTCAGAATCAAGAATGAAAAAGGCGATGTCCATTGTTCATTGCTCATGGCCAAATCCAGAGTAGCCCCTCTCAAGATTACAACAATCCCTCGGCTAGAGTTGACTGCAGCAGTAGTGTCAGCTGCAGTGGATGATATGTTAAAGGAGGAAATGGATCTTGCAGATGCTGAGGCATATTTTTAGACTGATTCCAAGGTGGTATTCCACGCTTTTGTTGCAAATAGAGTTCAGAGAATCCATCGCAGTACAACTCCCGACAATGGCGATATATTTCTTTGGACGAAAATGCAGCCGACTGTGCTTCACAAGGCCTGAGTGTCGACAGTCTTGTCACCTCCAACTGGTTCACAGGACCTAACATCTTATGGGAAAGGCACTTACCTCCCTCTCTGGATGTTGATAAACAACTACCAATTGGAGACCCAGAAGTCAAGAAAGCCAAGTCCCTGAATACGCAAGCATTAGAGTATTCCTGTTTGTCTGATCATCTCACAAGGTTATCTCACAAGGTTATCAGCAGAGTGTGAGGATGCTAAGCGTATCATCCTCATGGATTTACAGCATCAGGTGTATTGAGAGGAAATAGCCATACTGAATAAGGGCAAGAGACTACCTCGTAGCAACAAGCTATACTATCTGGAGGCATTTGTTGATCACGACGGACTGCTCAAGGTGGGAGGAAGGCTCTCCGACACTTCTGTTTCCAACTCCATTACACATCCAGTTATCATTCCAAAGGAACACCATCTTACAAAACTCCTGATTGCTATACTATTACTATAAACAAGATCAGGTAAGGGGGATTCTGGATTATGGGAGAAAACAGGACTGTAGCCTCCTTTATACGCCAGTGTGTAAAGTTTCGTAAGCTTCGCAGACCACCAGAAGAACAAAAAATTGCCAATCTGCCCCCAGAGCGTACATACCCATCCCCTCCGTTCACTTACTGTGGAACGGACTGTTTTGGTCCGTTTATCACCAAGCAAGGGCGCAAATCATACAAAAGGTATGGACTTCTTTTCACCTGTTTTTGCTGTAGAGCTGTCCATATTGAGATGCTGGATGGCACGTCCACAGACGCCTTTATTAATGGCCTGCGCTGTTTCATCGCCATCAGAGGAGCAGTGCGTCAGATAAGGTGTGACCAGGGTACTAATTTTGTTGGAGCCAAAAACGAGTTTCCAAAGGCCATGAAGGAGATTAACATTACCCAACTGGTAACATGTGACTTTGTCTTCAATGCACCTCATGCAAGTCAAGTTGGAGGCGTGTGGGAGAGACAAATTAGAACTGTGAGAAGCATCCTTCACTCCACTCTGTCCTTATCCTTCAAAAAATTGGATGACTCTTCTCTACGGACCTTCTTCTATGAAGTCATGGCCATTTTGAACAGCCGACCACTCGCAGTAGACAATTTGAATGATCCCAAGAGTCCTGAACTTTTGACTCCAAATCACCTGCTCACCCTGAAACCAGTACAAGCTTTACCACCTCCAGGTAAATTCATCAAGGAAGAATTGTATGCTCGCAAGAGATGACGTCGCGTCCAGTACTTGGCAGAACAGTTCTGGAGTCGTTGGCGAAAGGAGTACTTGTCTAATATTACCACCAGAAGGAACTTACAGGTTGGAGATATAGTCTTGAAAAAGGCAGATGATGTGCCCAGAAATTAATGGCGATTGGCAGAAGTTATTGAGACTATTGCGCAAAGGGATGGTCGGGTGAGAAGAGTAAAAATACTCTTTAGCGATAGAAAACGTCTCAGGTTACTTGTGTAACCATGGTTCGCGTGCTCTTTGCCCAAACAAACATCACATAGATCGTGTGTGTCATCTGGTGTCAAAAAGCGATGACACGGATGCACACACCTTCTAAATGCTCTGCTAGTGCTCGCCATAATAAATAGAGATAGCTCTTACTTTTTCCTTGGAAATGCACGCTTCAAACAAAACAGTCAATGAAGACGAAGAAGAGAATGATGTGTGCTCCCGGCGCCTATTTATACTATAGTCGCACCGGTAGTGACGTCATGGCTGTCGCCGGCCAGCGAGTTGGTGTTTTTTCAATGTATGCTTCAGACACGGGTCACGACGAGGCGTTCCCCATAGCGACCCCTAGAGGACGCAGTTCGAAGTTCCCATGAAAGGGAACTGAAGAAGGATGGTCAACGCCTGAACTAGCCATCAGTAGTTGAGCACCCTGTACAGAAGCTGTTTCTGCTGCTTGAGGCAGCTTGAACTTCTTGACATACCCTTTGAGTTAAGCAATTCATACTATAATGCTTAATAAAATAATTTGTGACTAAAGTTGATATTAATAGTCACTTATGATTTGGTGGGAGTGTGAATGACCTTCAGTTATTTATTCGTTTGGGGTTTAGTATATCATTATAATATTGCTTGTTATATTTCTGTATTCAGTTGGTAATGGTTATGTGTCTATTTAATTTAGAAATCATAATTTGCCCGTGTTAAGTTACTGTTCTTATAGAGACCTTTATTATGAAAGGGCGGTTTGCCGGACCTGCACGGAAGTCGCGCTGTCGTCTCGATTGCACATGGATGGAGATAAGGAACCATGCGGTCACGATGCTACGGAGTTAAATTAAGACATTAAGGTTTAATGATTAAATAGTGATGGAAAAATGAAGCTTTGCGAAGCACCGAGGCTTTCCCTCAACTGTATCGTAAAAAGGTTCATTACTCTAAGCTTTTCAAGATGGTGCACACTATCGACATCTTGTGGTCAAAAGGTGGAAAAAGCTCCCTTTGCGTCCCAGACGACCCAGCCATTTTTGGACTGTTTCAGATAATAAATTAGTTTGTGCTATGAAAACCTGTATAAAGCAAAGAAAATATGAAGTCTATATAAATAAGTCCATGTCAGTCATTGTATTACACAATATGAATAAATGAGTCTGAATAAATTTGTGGTAAAAATAGGCAAGGCTGTAGGCATATATAGGCTATGATTATCATAGAATGGCCAGTTAAAGTGTCTGTGAACCAGGAATTAATACAAAATGAACATGCACAACACTTTACATGCATGTATGCAAATATTTATTCATATTATGATTTATTCTTTTCAAAGACGTGAGTGACACTTGAAACTGCGCAAGTGGTTCACGTTATTTAAATCAGAATACGAAGCAGTCACATGGTTGTGTGTGAAAACAAAGCTTCGGATGTCACAGATCACGTGGTTTTGGCAAAACGAATCAAGCTCTGGTACAGTGCTTCACTGTGAGATGTTTCGTATTTTTGATACAAGCTTCGAAGCCTCGGTGTCGAACGTCACATCACTATGATTAAAGGTTTCAAGGCATTTTAAAGTAATTTAACGGACAAAGGGTTAATATTTGTTGTTTTATTTTTGTTATTCTTGTATTTTTTGTCTTTTACTTTTACTGTACCTGGTTGAAAGAGGCACAAGCTCTTACAGTGTGGTGTTGTGGTATTTTATTGTGGATACAAAGGAAGAAAATAAACACAAAGAGCCATATACAAACATCAGTGGAGGAGTCGATTTTCTTTAAATTCAACCGGCTACTACAAGGTGAGTGTTTATCGCAGTATTTACTCACCATTAACAGACAGATTTATTCGTTCACTCTCCTGTGATGATTTTGGTCTTTCATCTCTCTGTCCTCTACACCAGTACTGATCCTGATCAGACTCATTCAGTCCTCTGATAGTGAGAGTGTCTCTGTTTACAGTGTAACGCTCAGATGACTGTAACATTACACTGTTGTTTCCGCCTTTATACCACTCATATCTCCAGTTACTGTGAGACTCAATCTTACACGTCAGATTGACTGTCTCTCCAGTGAATACAGGACTGTCTGGTGTCACAGTCAGTGTAGATCTGGGTAAATCTGTAAAATATAAAAGCAGATAAATAATCAAGTGTGAGGCCTACAATGAAGTGTTATATCCTTTTAATCTTTGCATGTAAAATTTTGCTCTTTACATTCTGTAGGAGCTTGTAGATTAAGTGTTAACTGAATGCAATAACTGTCTATTATACATCCATTGTTTTGTCAGGAAAAAATGCCTATTTTCATGCTGTTATGAAGAAATAAAAGTGTTCAACTAATACTTTTGGTCTAACAGCCATATCAGTAATTTAATGGTGATTTGTGTCCTTTTTAACAGTCTCTGATCCTCATTCACTGTCAATGAAAAGAGAAGCCAGGACATTCAGCTGTAAATAATGCCATCGTGTTCTAGGGAAGAAAGTCATACAGGTCTGTACAAATATGAGTGTGAGTAAATGATGACATGTTTCATTTTTTGGGCAAACTATTACTCTAATTATTGAGAAATGGTTTAAAAAATTTTTAGAAAGTTAATCTGTAACCTTGTGAAGTTACATTTTTCAGACACAAATAGGATGAAATGCATGCCATCACCAGAGTGACATTCATTGTTGTGGTGAAGCTTTTAAACTGTGTACGCTGCCATCACTGTACATATCGTGCCTCTATCACTCTAATTCAGTGCTGAAAACAAAGTTTGGTTACTTATACAAAACTGACAACTGCATTCTGAACTGAATTTAGCTGCAGTATATACTTGGCCATTGTGTTCATCACCAGAGATTGAGGGGTTTGGTCCAGCACAGCACACAACTGTACGACCCTCACTATGTCTGCAAGTTTACATGTAAAGTGTGTACAGAATTTCAGCCTACGACGCCTGAGGTGGACTGTGAACAGAAGTTTCTCCATAGAATGGCTGACTACATTTACTAAAATGTGCAATGCATAATAATTATCAACCACAAGAGACCTTTCTTCAAAGTTTGATCAGATTTCAATTTGAATTAAGTTTGCAAAATATCAATTGTTGTTGAGCTGAAATCTGGACGCTGTGTGTGTTCATGTAGTAGTAGGGCTGGGTGATATGGCCAAAAAAATATCACAATAATTTATATATATA